CCCCCCCCCCCCCAAGGTTCTGGCCAGCCATCGACGACGGGCTGCGGCGGGCAGCCTATGAGCGGGGCATCAAGGTGCGCCTGCTGGTCAGCTGCTGGGGACACTCTGAGCCGTCCATGCGGGCCTTCCTGCTCTCCCTGGCTGCCCTGCGTGACAACCACACCCACTCTGACATCCAGGTGGTAAGCACCTGCCACAGACCCGCTCCTTAGCCCCTGTGCTGGGCAGTACTGGGCACACAGTGCTTGTGGAGCTCGTCCGTCATCTAACAGAGAAACCCAGAATGAACTGCGCGGTGATGGGGAGACCATAAGTGACGCCCAGATTTGGGGGGAACAGGGTAGAGGACTCAGGATGGGATGGGGGGCCCAGAGGAAATACTTGCCCCAGCCTGAGGGATCATGGACAACTGTCTGGAAAAGGGGACATCTGAGGTGAGACCTAAGGGACCATTTCAGAGGATTCCCTCTAGGAGCCATTCTAGAGGGGAGGGGTGGCAAAAGTGACTGGGTCCTCCCAGCCAGTGTTGACTGAAGCCCACAAGGTTTCCGGGGACTCCCCAGTCCTTCAGACCTGGCCCCACTCCCCACCGCAGACCCTGGGGCTTCTCTAACCCCCGCTGCATCTCCTGCTCCTTTCCATTCTCCCCTCTCCCCCAGAAATTCTTTGTGGTCCCTGCGGACGAGGCCCAGGCCCGGATCCCATATGCCCGAGTCAACCACAACAAGTACATGGTGACTGAACGTGCCGCCTACATTGGTGAGTGTCAGCACCGCCAGAGGGATGGGAGAGGGGGTCCAGGCACTGCCACAGGCCCTGACTGCCCCCTGCCCCGTAGGAACCTCCAACTGGTCTGGCAGCTACTTCACAGAGACGACGGGCACCTCGCTGCTGGTGACACAGAATGGGCAGGGCGGCCTACGGAGCCAGCTGGAGGCTGTTTTCCTGAGGGACTGGGACTCCCCTTACAGCCATGACCTCGACACCTCAGCCGAGAGCGTGGGCAATGCCTGTCGCCTGCTCTGAGGCCTGTCCCAGTGGATAGGCTGAGGCCTTCAAGGCCCCCATAGACCCAGATGTCCTGGGTCATGGTCCCTGTCCCCGTGCTCCCGCTTCTGCCTGTCCCATTGTGGCTCCACAGGCCCCCTTGCTCTCCCACCTCTACCTCCACCCCTGCTGGCCTGACGCTGTGGCCCCAGGTCCCAGCCAAGCTGGGGGAAGGGTCAGCCCCAGAAGAAGTGGGGGTGCATGCTGGGCCAGCCTCTCCGGCCCACCCCCTTCCCAGGGCAAAGAGGGCCCAGGGTTATAAGTAAATAACTTGTCTGTACAGCCTCTGCCTGACTGAGTGGTGTGAGGTGGGGTGTCAGGGTAGGGGATAGCCAGCATGGGCCTCTGGTGGGGACATGAGAGTGTACACTGAGCTCTTAGCATGTGCTTGGCATGTGTTGAGCACATAGCATTTGACTGGCGTATGCCGAGCCTTCAGTGAGTGACCTGCCACTGCTGAGTATGCAGCATATGGCCCACTGGTTTAGCGTGTGCTAAGCCCTTAGCATGTAACCACTCAGGCTGGCATGTGTGACCATATGGTTGGCGTGTGCTGAGCATCCTGTAGCCAGCATGGGGTAGTGTGTGTCGCACACTTGGCGCACTCCCAGCGGACGAGCACGCACTGAGCCATTGCCATATCACAAGGGTGGACACACATCTGAACATGAGCGCACACCAAGCATGAATTTGTACCTGCCAAGTGAATTTACACTTGGCATGCCCCAAGCATGGATGAGTGCATGGCAAGCCTGTAAATGTGACAAGGACAGGTAAACAATGAGACCTTGGCATCTGGCAGGCTTGGACTGGCACCTGCTGAACACAGAATGTTCTGAGGGTGGTTCTCGTGTGCCAGGCACTTCGCATATTTAAGGGTTGGGTGAGTGTGCCAAGCACAGTCTGTCCCGGTGTCATGGCAGGCCAGCCTCCAGCCTGAGCCAGTGGCCCACTGAGTGCAGCATCAGAGCAGGGCCTGGGCATCAGCCTGAACCCCACCCCAGCGCCAGGCCAGCAGAGAGGACAGGCATGAGGCAGGACTGTGAACAGTTCTTTATTGAAATAGGCAAAGACAATAGGGCCAAGAACCTGCTTAGGGCCAACAGGGTGCAGCCACCTTTCTGTGTCCCTCTGACTGTGGTGGCAGCAGGCCAGACACCAAGGCCCTCCTGTGTTTGGGGTGTGTGCAGGCATGCACTGTTGGTGGGGGGAATGGGAATTACTGGATAATTATCTTTCTGTAAGAATTTGTGGGTTCATAGGATGGCTCCGAGGAAGGGATGCCAGCCCAGCTAGCTCAGCCACCAGTGATGGGTAGAGGTGGGGTCACCATCAATGCTGCCCGCCGACGTGCTGCAGAAAGCTGGTGGCCCGGGGTGGACCATGCGGGTGGGCATGGCGGGATGGGAGCCCCTGAGCCCTTGGGCCCCTGATGCCCTCCAGGGTCCAGTCCGGCTCACTCAGCCATTCCCCAGGACAGCTGCTGGGGTCGAAGAGCTCAGGGCTTGGCCTCTGTGGGGGAGAAGAGAGGGCATCAGCCAAGAAGCCACCAACCTGCCCCTCATGGACTCCCTCCTATCCGCCATGAACCTTTGTCACTTCCTGAGGACAATTCTGGACTTTTGCAACCCTCAGCACGTCCTGGGGTTTTGATAGTGTGTGCTGAGACCGCAGTGTGTCCTGAGGGTGTTAGTGTCTGCTGAGGCTTTGTCACATAGCCCTGAGGGTGGTGAGCATGTGCTAACACCTAGTTCTTAGGGCTGGACCTTTATCACTTCCTACAGGTGGATTACTGTGTTCTGAGTCTTTACACAGCCTGATGGCGGATTAGTATGTGCAGAGCCTGACACATCCTAATTATAACCAGAGTATGAGTTAGTGTGTGTGGAGCCTTGTAACATCCTGAGGGTGGGCTAGTATGTTGGATGCTGAACCAGCTGTTGGCAACGCAGATGTGTGGGGAGCCAAGACCAGGTTCACTGTGCCCCCGCCCTGGAGCTCAGGAGCACCCCTGGCCCCAGAACCACCTGCACCCTCCCTGCCCACCCAACTCACCTCAGCATCCATGGTCATGTCCTTGATGTCTGGCCCATCTCCATCCCGCTTCGGGATGGTGGGGGGCTTGGCGGATGCCCCGCGGCGCTCTCCCTCTGCCCAGCCGCTGCCCCGGCAGGGCCCGTCTTCCTCGGGTGAGGCCTGGCTCAGCCGGATGAGGTTGCTGAAGTTGGAGTCAGACTTGGAGCCCGTGGGCGGCTTGCGGGCCTTGTGGCGGCCAACCAGGCGGCTCCCGTAGAAGGCCAGGATGGGCTCAGGGCCCGAGTCGGGCACCCGGAGGCCAGCCACGGCTGCCTTGAGCGGGCCCAGCGCGCTGGAGGCCTCGCCCCACAGCCCGTGGCCCGCCTCCTGCAGACTCAGGTCGTCCAGCTGGTCGATGGCCCTTTGCATGCCCGGTGCCTTCTCCTCGCGGAAGAAGGACCCGCTGCCCGCCACACTGCCCAGGCCCACTGCCTCCTCCTCCTCGGCCAGACGGTAGTAGGGGGGCCCATCTTCCGAAGCAGCCACCACAGGTGTGGGGGGCTTGCCCTCCACCTGCAGTGAGAGGCGGCAGCTGCGCAGCGACAGCTGGTAGTAGCGGGTGGTCTCGTGGGCGCTGCGCAGCTGCTGCATGGACACGAAGGGGTGGCGCAGGGCAGCGCTGGGGCTGATGCGTTCGTGCGACTCCCAGGTCAGCATGCGCTTAATCAACTCCACCATGCTCTTGAGGTCGGCGTGCTCAGCCAGGGCCTCCCTATCCTGGAAGGCTAGCCGACCAGCTGCCCCGCCGCCATTCACTGTCTCAATCTGGTCCAGGGACTTGAGCATGTACTTGCGGCGCTCCAGTGGGCGCACCTGGTGGGACACAATTGGCAGGGGTTGACACGGAGCCTAGCCCTTGGGCCCCAGGCACTCCTGCAGTGGGGCCCACAGATGACCCCCCAGCTTCCAGTCGGCCCTCCAGTCTGGCCCAGAGCTCTCCTGTTGCTCTGAAGTCCACACACCTGAATCCTGACTTCCAGTTCTGCCTGTGATCTGACTTGGAGCCCACTTGCTGCTGGGAGGGCCATACCTGCTCCCTCTAGTCAAACCCAGAGCCCCCTTCCTGCTGGAAGTACACCTGACAGTGTTCTTTTGTCCTCCTATCATCTAACCCAGAGTTATCACTCAAGTTTCACAACTCATCCCAGACCTCCAGTCCTCCCCAGAGCTGTGGGTCCAGCCCCTACCAGTGAGCAGCTAGTAGAGGGACTGCCCTAAGCCTCTAGTCCTCCTTGGAATCAAACCCAGATCCCTTTTGCTGCTACAGCTCCCACACCCAATCCCAGTCTTCCAAGCCTCCCAGTGGTTGAGCGTCCTTGCCACACTAGTTTGACAACCCCCAGGCAAGGAGCTATCAGAGGAGCTGCCACATTTTTCAGTCTCACCCAGACCCCTCTTGTGTGACAGACCCCCCCAGCTGGCCCAAGCTTCCAGTCCTCTGCTGTCTCACCCAGACTCTGGTTGCACAGGTGTGCTGACTGCAGCCACAGGTAGCAGACAAATAGCCTTTAGCCTTCCAGTCCCACCTGGGCCTCATTTGGATCCTTCACACTTCACCAGTTTGTCTGACCCCAGATCCAAAGCTGGCAGAGGGGCTACCCTACCTTTTCTGTCACACTTGTGGTATAACCCAGGTCCCTCTTCCTGCAGCAGCCCCCACAGTGACCCTCAAACTTCCTGTCCTTTGGTCTCATCCAGATCTCTCGTTGTGACAATCCCCACAGCTGACCCAAGCTTCCAGACATCCCTGAGGTCTAACCTAGATTTTTTTCTTTATGTGGCAGCCCCCACACTGACTGCCCTCGCTGCACCTGCCTCCCTACCTTGGTCTCGGCCAGATAGTCAGCCGAGGACTTGAGCTGCCAGGGGTTGGTGGTGTCAGGGTGGGGGCTGCGCTTGAAGAAGTGGTGCGCCTTGCGGGCCGCGTGCAGCAGGTGGGGCTTGGGCAGGCCCTGGGTCTCACAGATGTAGCGCACCTGGTCATACTCGTTGTTGCCAGGGTAGAGCGGCCAGCCCAGGTGCAGCTCAGCCATGACGCAGCCCAGTGACCACACGTCCACTTTCTCGCAGAAGGGCAGCCCCAACAGAATCTCGGGGGCCCTATAGAAGCGCGACTGGATGTATGGCTCCTTCACATAGCGCACCTCGCTGAAAATGCTGGCCGAGCCAAAGTCAATCACCTGTGTGGAGAGGGAGGCCAGTGAGCAAGGCAAGGGGCGGGGACAGCAGATCTGGGCCTCACCTAGCATCTCTCCCCAGTGTCTGTCTGCATCTGCCATCTGACTGTCTTGTCGCTGAGCCTGCGAGTCTTACCTCTTGTTTATGTCCCTATCTGTCGCCTCCAGCTTTGGGTCTGCATTGTGTGTCTGTATCTGTTTCTATCTCTCCACTAGAAAGCATGTCTGTGAGCGTTAAAACCCCTCTCTCTCTCATCAGCAAATCTTGCTGGTTCCACCTTCTGAACAGATCAAGAATCTGAATGGAAAAAATATCCTCAGGTGAAGATTTAAAAAAAAAGAATCTGCCCTCTGTGCCTCCCAGCCACAGCCCCACCCTGGTCCTGCCCTCCATCACTTCCTGCCCACGCTGTTCTCCCTGCTCCCGCCCTCCGCCCCCCATTCTGTTCCTCACATTTACCCTGAGAGATCCTGTGAACACCTGAGTTGGGTCACGTCCCCCCCACGCAGCATCCTCTGGTGGCTTTACCACATCCTGTGATAAAATCCAAAGTTCTCACCTTCTCACCGCAGGCCAGAAGGCTCCTGCAATCTGCCCCATCCTGTCTCTGCCCTCAGCCCCTCCCACCTTCCCCCTCATTAACCCTGCTCCAGCCTCGGGAGCCTCTCACTATTCCTGGAACAAGCCAGGTACAATCCCCAGCTCAGGGCCTTTACACTGGCTGTTCCTTCTGCCTGGAATGCTCTTCCCTTGAATGTCCACACCGCTCCCCTCTCACTTCCTCAGGTCTTTACTCTTGTCACCTTCTCAGTGAGGCTTCCCCCAGCCATCTTAGCAAAAGACAGTGCCTCGCTTGGCCGGCATAGCTCAATGGTTGAACATTGACCTAAGGTTCAGGAGACAGTGGTTCGATTCCCAGTCCGGGCACATGCCTGGGTTGTGGGCTCAGTCACCAGTAGGGGGCATGCAGGGGGGCAGCCGATCAATGACTCTAATCATCGATGTTTCTCTCTCTCTCCCTCTCCCTTCCTCTCTCTGAAATCAATAAAGATATATTTTTAAAAAACAAAAACAATGCTTCTACTCATCCTAGCCCTCTGCTTTTCTCCATTGCTCTTAACACCATTTCACAAACTATATATTTTACATTTTTATTGAGTTCATTGTTTATCTAACCAACTAGGATTTGAGTCCCATGAGAATAGGATTTTGTCTGTTCACTGCTGAGTCCCTAGATGCCTAGAACAGTGTCTGGTACAGAGCTCAGAATGAATGAATGAATAAGTGAATGGGCTTTTTGGGAGGGGATTAATCTTCACCCAAAGATATTTTTCCATTGATTTGTTTTAGCGAGAGTGAAAAGAAGGGGGGGAGAGGGAGAAACATCAATGTGAGAGACACATCAATTGGTTGCTTCCAGCACAAGTCCCGACCAGGGCCAGGGAGCGAAACTGCAAGCCCTCTGGTGCATGGGCCGATGCTCTAACCACTGAGCCACGCCGGCCAGGGCTGAATGGGCTTTTTATCCATCATTGTCTTTCCCTCCCTTGTTCGTATCTCTCTCTTGTTCTTTGCCGCTTCGTGGCTTATCTGTGTTTCTCATCTCTCAATGTCTCTCTCCATCTGTCTCTGAGTCACTCACTAGAAAGACACTTCCCAGAAGCCCACGTCGTCCTCATCACGCAGTGTTAACACCCACACAGGCCCTTGGTACCTGACGCGCTTGACAAACACCTGCTGAACTAACACCGAACGGCTGAAAGCCCTCGTCTCTCCCAACGCCCCTGGGAGGAGCTATCTGCCGTTTCCACTCTGAATCTCCGTGGCTCTATCTTGGTGCCCACGGCAGTTGCCCTCTCTGTTTCTCTGCTTTTCATGCAGCCGTCCCTCACCTTCTATTTGCAGAAGGCGGTAGGACAAAATGGTCATTAATCTGAATGCAGACTGCCGAGGCCTGAATCTCAGAGAGCCTGAGTGGCTCTGGGCACTCAGGCAATGTTGGTGGGACTCATCTGCCCATCCATTCATTCATTCCACAAACACTGGCCAGGGATTGTGGACCTATCCTGTCTGTCTCCTGCTGTTTGTGGGCATCTCTCCTTCCCTGGGTCTCTGTGCTTTTCTCTCTCAGAGCAGAATGCTCTCTCTTCTTGTCTCGTATCGCTCTGTGTCTGACGTTCATTTAGCTCTGACTCCACAGCAGCACTGTGCTGGGAGATGCCAAGGACACAGTGGTGACCAAAACTGCCCTGGCCCTGCCCTCATGGTGCTCCTAGTTCCTATCATCACCAGACAGTAACAAACCCAGAAGCAGACAGAGGGGTCAAGGGTGGGATGGGGGAGCCCAGGAGCTTGGGACAGTGCAGAGGAGATGCCTCTGCACACCCAGCACAGGGTCAGGCCCAGAGCAGGCACTCAGTAAGTGTTTGGTGACAAACTCACTATGATGAGATATGGCACTGCCATCCTTCCAGTTGCTCAGGGCCAACAGGCTTTCGTCCCCCTCAAGTCCTCTCTTACACTTCACACAAGATCTGTCAGCAAATCCTGTTGTCTCCAGTTCCAAAATCTACTCAGGCCCACCCCTGAGCTCTCCTCCCACTACTCCGACTCTAGTCCTGCCCACCCATGTCCCCCACCCAGTCTAGGACAGGCGCCCCTCACTGTCTTCCTGCTCCTCACAGCCAGAGCGTCCAGGACTGGGGATGGCTGGGGGGAGGCAGGCACAGGAGATGCTGCCACCCCAGGGCAGCCCCTCACCTTGACCCTGAAGGGGCAGCGGGTCTGGTCCACCAGCATGATGTTCTCAGGCTTGAGATCGGCGTGGATGATGGCCAGCTCCTTGAGCCGGGCCAGGGCTCTGAGCACCTGCAGGGTGACGGTGCGGATGTGGCGGGCAGGGAGGGGCGCAAAGTTGTTTTCCTTCTGGAATTCAAAAAGGTTCTGCTCCAGCAGCTCAAACACCAGGTAGAACTTGAGGGCATCGTGGAAGAAGTCAAGGAAGCGGATGACGTGGGCCTCCTCAGGGTCCAGGCCCCTCATGCAGCGCAGCAGCTTCAGCTCGTTCTTGATGATGCGGTTGCGGTAGGCGTCATTCTTCAGGATCTTGATGGCCACCATCTCGCCCGTGCTTCGCCGCCAGCCCTTGGCCACCTCCCCAAAGGTGCCCTTGCCCAGCACCTCAATGATGTCGTAACAGTCGGTCTCCGACTGGATGGTGGCCATGGCGCCCCTGCCACCAGACACTGCCCTGCCACCACCTCTGCCCCACAAGCTCTGTCTTCGAGGCCTCCTGGACGCCCTCTGCCTCCGTCCCCGAGGTACCCCCAGCGGCGGAAAGAGAACGGCACTAGTGCCTACCCCTGCGAGGCTTGCCCTCACCTCCCGGGCACCTCGCAGCCTCCTGGGCCACACAGGGAATACACCAAGCGTTGCACCCCTCCCCCAAAGCCCTCCTGGCTTGGGACGAGGGGCCCCAGGCCCCCCCAAATGGGTTCCAGCGTTGCTGAGTGGCTCTGGTTCTGTTGTTGGAGACCTGAGCCCCTGGCTGGAATGGGGGGTGGGGTGGCAGGTCAAGCCCCCTCCCCCGCCCCGGGGCGGAATCTTGAAGAGGTCAGATAGGTAAAGGGTCCACTGAGGGGTGTCTGAAGGAAGAAGCATGGGACATTCCCAGAGGTGAGAAAAGGCAGGTTTTCCGAACTAGGGTGTGGGGTGTGTGTGTGTGTGTGTGTGTGTGTGTGTGTCAGAAAATACCTGCCCCAGCCTCTGTCTGACATGGGGAAAGATGTGGCTGAGGCAGACCCGGGTTGTAAAAGGTCTTGAATGCCAAGCTAAGGAGGTTGGACATTGTTCTGAGGGCACTGGGGAGCCACAGAAGGGCTTTTGAGGGAAGGATCAGATTTGAGTGTCAGAAAGCTACTGTGTGAAGAAAGGTGAATTAGGAGGCAAGAGTGGAGGCCCAGAGCCTGGAGCAGGGCCCAGGTGGGAGAGGTTGGGGAGTCAGGGAAGAGGCTTCTGGATGAGACGTCTCATCCAGGAGGCCAGGAGGCCAGGAGGCCAGGCCAAGGGACTGACAGGTTTTGGGGGAGGGAGGGAGCTGTCCAGGACAAGGTAGGATGGTCCCTGAAATGGGGACAGGGACAGGAGCACTTTGGAGGAGAGGATGCTAGGGTCGGGTTAGGGAATTTAATATTGAGTGCTTTTGAAGCCTAATCTGATCCTTACAGCAGACATTTTAATAGCTCCATTTAATTGAAGAAAAAAGTTGGGTGCTAGAGACAGGCTTTGACCCTGAGAAGTATGGTCTAGAGCCAAGCTCTGAACCACCACCCCACACATTCTCCTAGTGCCCAGGAGTTGTCCCAGGGGAGGCACGCAGAGGCCACTGGATTCCCTCGTGGACCCAAAAAAGAATTTGAGAATTGTCATCCAGAGGTGAGGAGTTGGAAGCCTCTGGGAGGGTATCAGGCCCAGGGCGGGTGTGGGGGTGGATGAGGGCCTGAGAGAAACCCAAAGAGCACGAGGAGAGGAGTGGAAATGAGAGAGGAGAGCGTTCAGGAAGGAGGAAGGGCCCTAAGAAGTCAGGACAAGGGAGACAGAGGAAGCCCTTAGGGTGACCCCAGAGAAGTCTCTTCGGACACTGTACAGGGTAGCCCTGGAGGGAGGAAAACCCCACATGCTGGAGAGCTGGTGGAGGGGTGTGTGTGCCTTGAGGGCAGATCATTCCTGCATGTTTGGAGGACACAAAGAGAAATCATGAGACAGGGTAGTGAACGGAGGGGAGCTGGCTTGAAGGAAGAAGGTGCTGGAGAAAGTGGGAGGTCTATGACAGCTTGGACATGGCCCTTCATCTTCTAGAATGGGAGGAGAGTGGAGGGGTGGATGTGGGGGTGTCAGGGGGAGATCTGAAACTGGACAGCCTGTCTTGTCTTCTTAGTCATCTGGGGTATAGCAGAGAGATGGTGGGGGTGGGGGTCTGGAGGCCCTGGTGGGGGTTTAGGGGCTTAAACCCAGAGTGAGGCTGATCACCCAGGACCTAGTCCTACGAGGCAGCCACGTGTCTGGAGTGGAGGCTCTGAATCCAAGAGCCTGGAGATGGCCAGGAGGGGCTTTTTCCTGGGTGGGGCCCAGTGGACAGGGCAGTCAAACCAGCCAGACAGAAAAGCAGCAACAGGATGCAGAGGCGCTTGTTGGTGAAGTGGCCAGCAGAGGGCAGGTGGGTAGCAATCAGCCTGCTCTCTTAGGGCTCCTGGGGTTGTCCTGGCCAGTGCGGGGGGTTCCCCAGGAGAGAGTCCCCAGCAGAGGGGTCCTGCCCCTGTGCTCTGCTGGGGAACTTCCCAGAGTCTTGCTCAGAGGCCCCTGGGATTTCGGAAGGGCTAGGGAAGGTCACCCTCCCACTAGACCCATCCCAAGGCCTCCCTGACTCTCCTCAGACCAGCAGTGGCCTGTGTCTCCCCACATAAGCTCCCTTCAGGCCATGCTCAAGTCCTCCCTCCTTCCTTTTCTGGGATTTTTCCCTCCACACCTTCCCTTATCCCCTCCAAACACAGAGACCAGATACAAGGCTACCTCTGGATTATTTATTCACATGGCTTGGCAAGATACAGACACTCTTGCCAATGAGCTGGGCACCAGGCCTCCCCGGCCCTGCCCAGTCAGTGGCCTACCTCCCAGCCCTCTGAAGGTTAGTGCTGGTTATCTCACACACGAAACAAAGGGTGGGGAGTGGAAAGACGGGAGGAGAGTCTCCCTCTGCTCAGGAGCTTCAGATAACAGCAGTCTGAGTCCCCTCCAACCTAGTGGGGCCTGGAGCCCCTGCCTCCGAAAACCCCACGCTGGGCAGTCGGACCCGGAATCCACCCTCTTCTGGGTCCCTGCTCCCACTCCGGGCCTTGGGGCTTAGGGACACCCTGGGGAAGCGGAACTTGGGGGACTTCTCCCCACCAGGGGACTTGGAGGCTGCCTCGCCCTCCTGCCCCCGAGAGGCCTTGGAAGAAGTAGCCAGGCCCACTCGGGGCAAGCGAACTCGGAGGCGGCCTCGGCGACCAGAAGCCCCTTCCCCACTGCCCTCCTCCTCCTCCCCCTCGTCCTCAGGACTGGGGGAGCCTTCCCCAGTGACAGCCTCGCCCTGGCTGAAGCCCACACGGGGCAGCCTGAGTTTGGGGCTCTTGGCCTTCTCACCCTCCTCAACCCCCTCCTTGGCCCGCACCAGGCCAAACCGGGGCAGCCGAACCTTGAGCTTGTGTCCAGCGTCTCCCTCACCCTCTGCTACCTGGTACTCGGCATGGCTGCCCATGGCAGGTGGTGAGAGCTCCAGGTCAGGCAGTGAGAGGTGAAAGGTTGGTTCGATCCCTGGGGGCTGGTCTCCAGGTCCCTCAACCCCAGCCCCAGCTCTGGCCACCAGTGTGGGCATCTTCAGCCTTAGCCCACCCTCTTCTGTGGCTGCCTCGCCCACCTGTGCCTCTCGGCTCAGCCCCATGTCCAGCTCAAGCTGGGGCACTGTCACAGTGGGCATCTTGAAGACGCCCTCTCCCACCAACAGCTCACCACCCTCCCCCTGGGCTCCAGGCAGAGACAAGGCCACCTGAGGCACCTGGACCCTGTAGACTGCTGTGCCCTCTGCTGAAGGAGCTGCACTCTCAATCTGCTGTCCCGAGGCACCCAGGCCAGCCTCACCAAAGCTGGTCAGCTCCACCTGGGGCAGAGAGATGCCCAGGGGCATCCTCAGCCCCCCTTCCTGGCCCTCAGTGCCTGCCTGCCTGATTGTGGACACTTGCAGGCCTGCCAGCTGTGCCCCACTGACAGCTACCTCCCCCTTCACCCCCACTTCCTCCTGGGCCCCCAGTGTGACCAGCTCTACCTCAGGGATCTTAAGCTGCCCAGCCATAAACTCTGCCTTTTCCCTGGGGCTGACACGCCCACCCTGGATTTCCACCTCCTTCCCCCGAGCCAGCCCAAAGGAGGGCATCTTCAGTTTGGGCATCTTCACCCTCCCATCCCAACCCCAGCCCTTGCCCTCCAATTCAGCCGCCCCTGGCACTAATTCTCCTGCCTCAGTGTCCCGGGCTCTGACCCCAAACTTGGGCAAGGTGAACTTGGGACCCTTGAGCTTGAAATCGGCCCCTGCCACCTCCACCTTGCCTGTGGGCAGATGGGCATCCAGGCTGAGCTGTGGGATGGACAGATCGAGGGCGGGTAGCAGGCCTGCCTCCCCAACCCCTTTAGCTTCAGCATGGGTCCCCACCTGAGCCTTGGGGAGTGAGATGGCGAACTTGGACACCTTCATCTTGGTGGCTCGCCCGGCCCCCTCAGCCTCTGCCTTGGCCATCTTTGGCCCCGAGAGTCCAAACTTGGGCAGGGAGAACTTGGAGGTGGGTTTGACTTTCATCTCCATCACCTCCACCCGCCCTTCCTCAACTTCCACTGTGGGCAGCTGGGGAGTGACGATCTCAACAGAGGGCATCCGGAAGGCCACTTCCCCAACCCCTGCTGCCTCTTTGCCCTCTGCCCATTCCACCTTGCCCTCTGCCTGTGCTACCCTGCCTTCTGCCCTCTCCGCCTTGCCCACTTCAGCCGCTGGGACCTGCCCCTCCAGGCTGAGTGCCCTTGGCAGGTCCAGCTCCACTGAAGGCAGAGTGAGAGAGGGGAAACCCACACGAGCCTCGCTGTCCACCTCTGGCTGCAGACAGGGAAGTGTTACAAGCTTCCCTGAGACCTCGGCCCCTGCCTCCCCTGGCTTGCCTCGTGACGGGGACCCTGCCCTCCCTAACTTGGGCATGGTCATCTTGGGCATGGTCATCTTGGGCATCTTGAAGCCAAATTCCACCCCCTCTACCTTCTCTGCCCTGGCAGCTTTTAGCTGCACCTCTGGAGCCTTGGGCAACTTCACCTCAGGTGCCTTCAGAAGCTGCACATCTGGGACCTTTGGCACTTGCATTTCTGGCAGCCCCACCTCTGACACCTTTGGCAGCTGCACCTCTGGGAGGTGTACATAGGGCACAGCCATCTCTGGCACCTTGGGGAGCTTTATCTCCGGGAGCTTCATCTCAGGGAGTTTCACGTCTGGGACTTTAATCTCTGAGACTTTTGGCAGCTGCACCTCTGGGAGTCGTACATCGGGCACGGCCATCTCGGGTACCCTTGGGAGCTTCATCTCTGAGGCTTTCGGCAGCTGCACCTCTGGGAGTCTCACATCGGGCACGGCCATCTCGGGTACCCTTGGGAGCTTCATCTCTGAGGCTTTCGGCAGCTGCACCTCTGGGAGTCGCACATCGGGCACAGTTATCTCGGGCACCTTTGGGAGCTTCATCTCTGACACTTTCGGCAGCTGCACCTCTGGGAGTCGCACGTCAGGCACAACTATCTCGGGCACCTTTGGGAGCTTCATCTCTGACACTTTCGGCAGCTGCACCTCTGGGAGTCGCACGTCGGGCACGGCTATCTCGGGCACCTTTGGGAGCTTCATCTCTGACACTTTCGGCAGCTGCACCTCTGGTAGTCGCACGTCGGGCANCGAGACTTTTGGCAGCTGCACTTCTGGTAGTCGCACGTCGGGCACAGCCATCTCGGGCACCTTTGGGAGCTTCATCTCTGAGGCTTTTGGCAGCTGCACCTCTGGGAGTTGCATGTCAGGGACGGCCATCTCGGGCACCTTTGGGAGCTTCATCTCAGAGACTTTTGGCAGCTGCACCTCTGGGAGCCGCACCTCAGGCACAGCCACCTCGGGCACCTTTGGGACTTTCATCTCTGACACTTTTGGAAGTGCCACCTCTGGGAGTTGCATTTCTGGAAGGGCTGCCTCAGGCACTCTGGGGAGCTTGACCTCTGGGGCCTTGGGGAACTTCACTGCAGGCCCCTTGGGCACTTTGACCTCAGGCGCTGAGACCCCAATGCCAAAGGAGGGCATCTTGATGGTGGGCAGTTTCAGCTTGCTCTCAACAGCGGCTTCAGGGGCAGTGGGCCGGGGCTCCAGGAGAGAAAGCCCAAAGCTGGGCATTCGAAGTCTGGGCCCCTTCACCCTGACCTCAGGGCTGCCCTTGGCCACCTTGACCTCAGCTACTTCCTTTGCTCGAGCCCCAAAGCGGGGGAAACTGAGGCGGGGCATCTTTAGGGCCACCTCAGGCACCTCTTCTTGGGCCTCCACCTCTGCACCTGGCAAGGCCAGGTCCACCCCCACAGTAGGCGCTGCTACATCCAGGGCGGGCACTGTCAGTGCTGCCGTAGCCCCTTCCCGGGTCTCCAAACAAGGTAGTGTGGGCAGAGTGGGTAGCGAGGGCAAGGTGGGCAGCTCTACTTGGGGAACCTGAATCCCTACGGCCACAGGCTCCACAGCAGGGGCAGCAGGGGCTCCAAGCCCAAAGGTTGGCAGGTGTAGGGCAAAGCCAGTGGCTGCTTCTGCTGCAGGGGCCTCCTTCCCCAGTCCCTTAGGGGCTGAGACCTGGGGGACACCCACCTCTGTGCTTGGCAGCCCAGGCCCAACCAGCTCCAGCTGGGGTGCTGTGAAACGGGCCCCTGCTGCCACCTCAGCCTCCGCTTTGGCTTTTCTGGGGGGAGGAGCAGCGGCAGCCAGCCGAGCTACCTGGGCCTCTTCGGCCACTTCTCGGACGCGCAGCCGAGGCAGCTGGAGGCGCCGGCGGGTGGGAGCGGCTGGGACAGGACCCTTGACAGCCTCAGCTTTGAGGCCCCGACGCAGACGGGAGAACTTGGGGAAGGAGAATTCGACGTCAACGGGGGCCAGGTCTGCAGGGTACCCCAGGGCCCCAGGCACCACCATCTTCTTCCTCTTCACAGGGGACAGACTCTGGATGTTCTGGGGAGAGAGGAGAGAGGAGAGGCGGGAGGCGGTGGGACAGTGAGGCCTGGGGTGGACAAGGGGAGCCCCGCCTGGTATTGAGCCAGGCTGGCGATGTGATGGACTGAACATCTTTCCCCAAAACACCATCCCCACTTCCTGCCTGTCATTTCACCATACTGCCCCTGAAGGCAAAGACGTCCATTTAGAATCTTACAGTGAGTCAACAGCAATGTAGAAACTGGGACCCAAGACTTCTAGGTCCTCCTCCAGGATTTTCCTCAATACCCTCATTCTAGAGATGGGGAAACTGAGGCCTACGGAAGAAAAGAAACTTGTCCAGGGTCACTCAGCAGTAAGCGAGGAGGAATCAGGCTGAAATCTGGCCTCCTGATGTGGAGTCCCCTAGTTCAGGACCCCAGCAAGCCTGGAGCTGAAGGTGAGGCTACCTTTCCAAAGCGGGTAAGTGCCCTGGTCTGGGATGGGTGGGACCCCCGCCCAGGGAGGAGTTTAGGGTCACAGAACAGGAGGCACAGAGTGGGATTAGCGTTGAGTTAGTGACAAGACAAGAAGGCAAGGGTGGCCCGCGGTGTAAGGGAAACGGGTTCATGGCGCAGAAACGGGATCACTGGGGCAGTCCAGCGCAGGGGCCGGGCTAAGCACGCGTACCAGCTTGGCCACCTTGGCCCGCGGGCCCTTCATCTCGTAGCCAGACACGGTCCCAGGCCGCAGCGCCAGGTCCCCGGTGGGCACAGTGCGCTTCAGGCAGAAGGAGACCTTGTAAGGCTCGGCGCATTGCAGCAGACGTAGTGCGTCCTCGTACTTGAAGTTCTCAAAAAACACGCGGGCGCTCAGCAGCTGGTCCCCTGCGGGCGAGTGGAGCGGGGCGTGGGCATCTCCCGGCTCCACCCAGGCCTGGCTCCTCCCACTTCCCCAGGAACCAGCACAGCGAGGCCCTGCCCAAAACTTGGCCCAGCCCAGCCCAAGCGCAGGATCGAGACGCCAAGTTCCTCCCAGTTTGAAGTCGGACCACTTAAGAAGGAAGCCCCGCCCCACGGCCTTAGCTCCGCCTCCCCCTACAGAGAAAATCTGTACTCAGGCCACGCCTGCCGCCTTTCCCCTCCCCTCCCCCATGCTCATATTTCAGGCTTTTTTTTTTTTTTTAACACAGTTAAACTTTTTATTTACAATATTCTCTTCATCTTTTGCCAGGTTTAAAAATGTGTACAGAGCTGCGAAGAATGGGGACATGGGATTATCAGGAAACTGTTCTGGGGAGAGGGCTGGGCATTGGAGTCTGTGACTGAATCATGGGGTCCCCCAGCCCCTCTCCCATGCCCCAATTTGGGGGACATCTGTCTTCAGGGTTCAGGGCCCAGGGCCCTAGCATTTAGAGGGCATGGCTGTCTGGAGAGGAGCTAGATCAGGCAGGAGAAGGGAAGGGAAAAGAATGAAGACTCCATGGGTGGAGGTGGGAAAAGGGACAGTCAAGAGGCAAAGTTCTGGGGAGCCAAGACCAGGAAGTCTGGATCTGGATGCCATTGGAAGACAGCACCCCACCCCTACTCAAGTAAAACCCTTCCTGACATGGTTCTTTTCCCTACAGGCTCAGGTGCCCTCCAGTCAGACACCTTACACATGGCCTTTCAAATTCTTCCTGCCAGTGTCTGCTCAAGTCCTGTCCCCCACTGTCCTCTCCATCTGCTCCCCAACCTGTCCCAGGAAGCCTTTCTCCCCTGCTCTCCTCCCTTCCACTCACCACCACTCCTTTCCCTCAGTACCAGCAACCGAGGGAAGAGGGGCAGCTCCAAGAAAGGGAATGGGCAGCTGAGAGAAGATACTGTTCAGACTGTTCTTTGCTCCCTTTACTGAAAGAACAGAATCAGAAGAGAACTTCCAGAAGCTTTCACCCCATTACTCACCCCCTGCTCCTGTGGTGATTTACTCCACTCTCCACCTGTTGCTAGAGATGAATTGTCCCACTCCTGGCTCAGGTCAATTCCTCCAGCAATTCCCCCATCTCCTTCCTACATCATTCATTTGTCCCTCTCTTCTTCCTATCAGCATATTACGTACTGATATTTCTTACATATGAAAGGTTGTCTTGACATCACTCCACCTGGAGCTCCTGCCCATTTATCTCCTAACCTTAATGGCAAAATGCACTGAGTTGTCTAGCTGCATTATTTCTACTTCTCCAATCACACTTCTGACACCCCATCCTAGAACCCTGAACTGCTCCTCTCAAGGTCCCATGCAGTGACCTCTCTGTAGCCAAGTCGAATGGTCAAGTCCCAACCTCCTGAGATGGTTCTTCTCCATCCTCCTGACCTCTTAAAGACACACTAACCCAGAGCTCAGGCCTTAGACCCCTCCATCCACATGCTCTCTACTCATCCCTTTGGCAAGCTCATCCAGATTTAGGGGTTTAAAAGTCATAAATATACTGACAACTCCCAAGTGTATCTCTCCAGCCAGCACTCTCCCCTCCATCCTAGACTTATATATCCAACTGCCCTTCCATATCTCTACTTTCATTTCCAACAGACATTTCTCATTTAACAAATCCAAACCGTTCTCCTGGTCTACTCCTAATACACTAGTTCAACATGGTCAATTCTCCTCCACTCACAACCCTCCCAGGTTAAAAGCCAAAATCCTCACCGTGGCCTATAAAGTCTTCTAAAAACATCCCTCCCTCTTACCTCTCTGGCCTCATCTCCTAGTCTCCACTGACTATTCCATCCATACTGGCCTCCTTTTTGTCTCTCCAACAAGCCAGGTACACTTCTATCTTGGGGAATTTGCACTGGAATATTCTTCCAGATGGCCATACAGCTCCTTCCCTTACCTCCTTCAGGCCTTTCCTCTCTTCCTGGCTCACCCTATTTAAAAATTCAGCTTCTTCCCTGGCATCCGTAGCACATATTGCCTTCTAACTTACTATATAGTTTACATTTTTTGCTTAAATATGTCTTTCCCCACTAGAATGCAAGCCCCATAAGTGCAGGGTTATCTGTTTTGTTCACTGCAGTAGCCCAAGCACCTAGAATAATATCTGGAAATAGAAGACCCTTAGTAATAGTTGTTGCATGAATAAATCACATCAGTCTCATCCACGTTACCTAAGACATTCCTTACTAAGCTACCCTCCCCACCCCTCCAAGTTGTTAACTCCACCTCTTTTCTCCAGCCCAAACAACAAAAACAGTAACTAGCACTTACAGTGCTTACTATGTGCCACTTAGCTATGTGCTAAGTGTTTTCAAATGCTGACTCATTTAATCCACATAATAACCCTATGAGGTAAGAACTAGAATTACTCCCAATCTAGGGATGAGAAAACCGAGGCACGAAAAGATCACAAATCTACTGGTTCTGACAATGAACCTCCACAGCCCGCTAAGGAGCAGGGGCAAAGCCAAAACAAAGCCCCGCCCCCAAGCCCTTAACCCCGCCTCTTGGTCGCCCGCCAAGCTAGCGACCCCTGGCGGATTCCTAACCCCGCCCCCGCGTAAAGGCCCCGCCCATGGCCCCGCCCCGCCCACCTTCCTGCAGGCTGAGGTTCCTGGCCGCGGGCGAGTCCTCGCGCAGCTCACGAATGTAGATTCCTTCCTTCCCGCCGCCCGCTACGTTGATGCCGCTGACCCCAGTCTGCGCCTCCGTCTCCACGATGATCTCCACCAACTCCGCCCGCCTCAGCTCCTGCGGAGGGCGGCGAGGGGTCGCCATGGCACGTCAGACGTCGCCCAGAGCCCGCCATCGCGCTTTAAAGCGTCTCCTAAGCCGGCCCTTAGGGCACATGCCCCTCTGCGAGGCTCACGCAGGTCGTGCGGGCCCACCCACTCCGGCATCTCCCCTTTAAGGAAGCCCGAGGGCCGCTCGTTCGGGGGGTTCGCGGAAAGGTTCAACGGCTCGGCTGGGCTCAGGCGGCTCGCCGCTCGCTCTGCCGGAGCCCCTGGGGAGGGGGTGGGTGGCTGAGGGGAGGCTCGAGGGAACCTGGGCCGGGACTGGGAGGCGGACCTGAGAGAGGGGGAGGGGCTGTGCTGCCGAGGAGGAGGGGCCAGTCCTGGAGGGCGGGGCGGGGGTGTGGAGAGCGCGAGCGGAAACCGCGCGCCGCCCGAGCGGAGAGGCCGAAGATAGGAGAGAGAGGGGTGTGGCTGGAGTGGCCGTGTAGCCTTGTGGCCGTGGGGTGGGGCCCCAGAGTCTCAGGAGCTATGGGGAGGGGCTTTACTAACAGCAGAACAAGGGTGGGGGTGAGGATGGGATTCCGAATAAAGGGCTGGACCCTTAAGTGGTGCGGAGTGGAGGGGCGGGGGTGGGACTGACCTTGGAAACTTGAATGTGTGTGAAACTGTGCCCTATTGTGGACTCTGTGACCCCAAGACCTGCAGAACGCCCATGGGAGAGGGAATCCAGTGGAAGGGGGGATGCGTGGGTAATGAGTGGTGGCCCAGCAGACGTGATATTCCTGGTATTTACTGTCAATGGTGCTGATCTGGCCCTGGCCCAGCTGCAGGCTGTGGGATTCACATCTGGGCTTTCCAGAATAGTCCGTGAGAGACCTCAGTTTCACAACTGTCTAGGAACTCAATCCACTGTGTGTCTCTGGGAGAGAACTTTGCCCTCTCTGGGCCTGTGTCCTTGTTGTAAAGTTGGGTGCCATGGGTATACTGGAAAGAGTCTCTGATTGTGAGCTGAGGACCTGAAACAATAGGCATCCAAAGGGATATATTGGACAAGGCATCCAGACTGGCACAGACTGGAGTTGAGCCTAGGACTACAGAGGGGAAAGCAGGTCTGGGACTGATGCCCCACAGCAGTGGCCCTGGGACTAGCGGGTTGGGCAGAGAAGGGGTAAGAAGAGTTGTGGTAGGGGCAGCAGGGAACAGCGTGACCATCACCACCCCCCTCATGCCCTGGGCTAAGCATTTTATGTGCAGGATCTCATTTTACCCTCCCACAGCTTGGGTAATCACCAAGGGGGACTCAAAGGTGCAGAGAAGTGAAATGACTTGCCTAATGACACACAGCAAGTGAAGCCACTGGGCCTCAAGTTCAGGTCTGTGACCTCAGAGCTCATAGACTGTTCAGTAGGCAGTGACCTCCCTGTAATTTACCCCGCTGCCTGCCACTCCTCAGCTAGTTTGGCTCCTATAAAAGTAGACCCACTCTGTGCCTGGCATCTGGTAGAATGCAGTCAATGCCAGTGCTTTCTCTCCTTAACAGTGACAGCAGCTAACAGTCAAGGAGGCTTCCTAGGCACCAGGCCCTGTACAAATGGCTTATGTGAGCCCTCAACACCTGCAAGGAGGGACGGGGGGGACCACACATCACATTTCACCAATGGGGAAACAAGGTTAGAGAGATGAGGTCACCTGTTCAGGGCTGCACAGCTCAAGTGGTAGGGTTGGAATTTAAGCTCATGGGTCCAAAGCCTGTGTCTCAACCCTTGCATTATTCTGGCGCTTCCAATGAAGGGTTTCTACTCAATTTTCTTTAGTTCATTATTAATATAACTCCATTCTGCTCCAGTGAATTAGCTGCTTTGAATCTTAGTCTGTGCCAGGCACTGTGCTAAGCACTTTACATGTGTTAATTTTTTTTCCTCACAGCGATCCATAAAATAGGCCCTGTTGCTATTTCCATTTCTTAGTTGAGGAGACTGAGACACAGAGAAACCAGGAAGTGTTTCCTTGCTGCCCTAGTCTGTGCCCCCCACCCAGGCCCCACAGTGCCCCGTGGAGGGTGTGTGGGTACTCACCTCAGCACTCCGGCTCCTGACCTCCATGGCGCTGCCGGGAGTCACCGGGGCCCCAGGCTCCTGCTTCCTCTCTCCCTTCTGCTGCAGGACCAGCTTCAGTTCTGCATGGAGCAGCTGCCTCTGAGCCTGCAGGAGACAGAGATGGAGGTCTGAGGCCAGGGGAGGTTGAGGGGAGGAGGTTGGGCTTAGAGGGAGTGGTGAAGGTGGTATTAGTAGAGGAGAAGGGCCCCCCCACCAGCTGTCCTCTCACCTCTGCCTGGGCACAGGCACCCCCTCCTAACAGGAGCCTAGCCTGGCGTGCTGCACAGTCGTCTGCGGGGCTTGCACCCTTCCTCTGGGGTCTTGCTGCCTGCCGAGGAGAGAAGGGCATGAGGCTCCAGGCAAGCCAGGGAGGGGCAGGGAGAGGCATGTGGCACCAGCCAGTGCTCACCTCAGGGTCACCTCCAGCTCCTTGGGCCTCCTGGGTCCGGGTCTCTAAGAAAAATAACGTGACCATTACTGCCAGCTAACCCCATGGATTGCTTCCTGAGTGCCTGACCCTTCTGTGCTCTGTCAATACTCCATCCCCATGGTGCAGGTGGGGAAACTGGGGCTCAGCGGACCTTTACCCAAGGTGACACAGTTGGCCACAAACTAAACCTAGAACTGACTCCTAGGCCTGTCTGTCAGCAGAGCCCCTGAGCCAAACACCTTGGCAGACCAAAGGGGCCAACTTCACTATAAAATAATTAAACCATTCCATGTACTCCCAGTGGGCAAATCACCTCACCGCGCTGTGCCTCAGTTTCCTCATCTTTAAAATGGTGAGAATGAGTGCAGCTCCCTTGCCGGGCTGTTGGGAGGGTCAAATGAGTTACTAAATATAAAAGGTCAGGCACATGGAAGTTACTTCACAAGCATTTGCTGCTGTTACTACTAAGAACCTCCTGTGGTACTGATCTTTCATCAAATGTCCCACAGGGGTTACTGCATGTGGACCTCAGAACAGCCTTATGAGTTCAGTACAATTGTTGAGCACATTTCAAAAAAGATACCTGAGGCTAGGAGAAAGGAAGCCACCTGCCTGGGTCATAGACTTGAACTTGTCTGAAAGCTCCAGCCCCTTATACTGATCATAACTAATGGGTATTGAGTGCTCACTCTTGGCAGGTCCTGTGCTAAGACCTCTACTTTCCACCTCACTGCAGAAAACCCTAGCCCCTCAGAGACCCCAAGAACCTTGCTCTGGGTCACACAGCACAGGGAGGAGGTAGAGCTGGATTCGCATGCAACATCCCCATAGGCCTCCTGGGGAAAAGGGGTTGGGCATTGTATGTCCCCTATGCCCTCCCACTCTGGCCTTGACTTCCCAGCCCCCACCTGGCATGCCAACATGCCAACCCCCACTCCCAAGGGAAAGGTCAGGCCTCACGCGGCACATTCCCTCAAACAATGGCCCATATGCTGTGCCCAGTCACATTCCGCCTCTGCCCACCCATCCCCAGCCGCACAATGGCCCTTCATAGCCCACCAGTGGCCAGGAGAGAGGACACAGGGACCCCTCAATGTTCCAGTTATACCCACCCCATTGGCTGGCCCCCCACCATGTAAGAGGGCTCCTCTCTGGCTCTGCTAGAGGTCATGGTCTTGCCTGTCAGCCCCAAGCCCCTCCGAGTAGGGTTGGCTTCCATCTGGGCATTTCCTCTGAACTGGGCCCTGTGTTGGCACCATAGACCTTGTAATCACCCTGGATGCGGTGGCTGTTTTAGGGTTGGAAACAAGCTCAGAGAGGGGAAGTGACCTGTCTGGTGTCACACAGCTAGGATGTGTGCCCTTGACCCCAGTTCTGCACCTTAACTTGCATTGGTAGCCCTGAGCACTGGAGGAGGCCCAAGGAGCAGGGTTGAGCAGGAGCAGGAAGGAGGGGTTTGTGAAGGCGCCAGAAATGGGCACTTTTAGAGGGACCTCCATGGTGCCAACCCCAGTCCAGGAAGGCACTTTATAGACGGGACCTCATGGTACCCCATTTTACTAATGAGTAAATGAGGGTTGAGAGGATATCACAGCAACAGAGTCGGGACTGAAACCCAGGTCTAAGAAGCTAACTGAGTCCCTGATGCACCACAGCATCCAGAGTTGGGGGTGGAAGAAGCTGGTACTTGTGGGAGGTAGTGGAGATAGAGGAAAGGATCTCCTGGGCCACAAGCTCCCTCCTCCAGGCAGGACATCAAGGGTCACACCCATAAGCTCAGCAGTGGTGGGGGCAAGAGAGTGCCCTCCTCCCTCCTCCCTGCCCCGCCAGCAACCAGCCCAGGTTATATTTAGGCCCAGCTGTGCCCTTCCGGAGCCACGTACCCAGCCCCTGGGGTGGGGTGGGGTGGGGGCAGCTTCGGAAGGAAGCCTACCCCACCCCGGGCACACTCTGTTCCCAGCTCTGCCCATCCTACTAGGCAGGGGAAGGAGTGGGGAGGTTCCTGGGGGGACCCCTGACTTGTGTTAGAGGAAGATCTAATGGGCTCCCATGGTGAATCAAGACAAGGTAGGACCCTCCACATGCCAGCAGCCATTTCTTGTGCAGGTCCTTTGGTGCTACCCTGGTACATTCCTGAGCTTCCAGAATTCTGAGTCCCCATTTCTTGAGTACTTACTATGTGCAAAGATCCTTCCCTGGGTCACTAAATCCTCACAACACTTCCCTGAAAAGGGTACAACCTAGATGGTCACTTAAGATGCCACTCATGCCCTTCAGAGCGGCTGCAGTGAGAGGCCTGGGCCCTTTAGCTGGGCTGGGCCTGCTGAGGAGTACCCCGGTGCACCCTCTTGCCCTGCGGTTCACCCTCTTACCCTGTGGCTGGTGCCAGCCTCCTTAAGGACTTCTCCCCACTAGGCGCCTCGGTTCCCAGCTACCAGCGATCTGGCTCCCTCAGCAATGGGAGTGGGATGTTGACTGGACTGATCCGGGTCCCTAGATTGATCTGAGGCCTTCTAGTGAGCCTGAGCAGTGGCCTGTGGCAGCCTCAGTCAATCCCTGCTCCTGCACTTCTCAGGTTGGAACACTGGGGCACGGTATTTCACCTCTCAGGGCCTCAGTTTCCTCATTGCCAAATGCAGCCAATTAGAGTAGTTCTGAATATTGATGAGATACTGCAGGTGCTTAGAATACTCCAAACATATAGTAGGCGCTCAGGTAATATAAACTGGTCTCTGGTAGC